GGGGCTGGGGGTGGAGGTGGGGGAGGGGGAGGCAGGGCGGTGGGGTAGTGTCGAATTCACAAATTATGAATTGTTGATAAGTAGAAAACAAAACAACTAGATAGCGGCGTAATTTTTAAAATTGATGTTCAAACTTATATGTTAGAAGATAGACATAGATCTATAGATTTTATTGCTTGATAGACACAGATCTATAGGTTCTATTGTTTGCTTGATTGAATGAAAAAGGAAACAATGGTCAGAATGGACTGATGCAGAGTTTGTTCCAGGCATCTCTTTGCCTCCCCCCCCCCCCCCATAGGAAGAATGTCTAACCCCCCCCCCCCCCCCGAACGTGATGGAAATTATACATTTTTACTAGTGTCACCCCCCCCCCCTGAAAAATGTTGACCCCCCCCCCCCCCCGGAGAAAAAAGTCTGGAAGAAACACTGTACAGATGTAGATAGTATAATACACACATTGTGAAATACTCACCGAGCAGTATAGGTTCTGGCCGCTGGCGGTGGCGAAACAGAGGGTTGTGCCGGCACCAAACAGGTTGGGTAGATTGGTACACCCCAGGGGGGAGAACCTGATCGCCGCCTCGTATAGCCCGGACGCCACGAGTTTACCTGGGTAAGGTACCGGATGTTAGAGGTCAGGTGAGGCATTGAGGGAAACAAATTGTATAGAAGCTGTATAGTTAAATTAAAGTGAATAATGTTAATTAATTACATATCTGTTTGTTTAACAATAATTTTTACAACTAATCAAACTAAATACATTTTAAAAAATGGGTACCGTAGTAAAGAAAAAAAAATTCAATATAAAAACAAACCAAAAGCGTATATTATCCCTCCCCCTCCAGTCAGTTATCCCCAATCCTTTCCTTAAACCCAAATATCAGATTACGCCACCTAAAGTAGTTGACTGTGTGGGCGTGGTGGATCAATGTATAGTCCAATGTATTTTATATATATATATATATATATATATATATATATATATATATATATATATATATATATATATATATATATATATATATATATATATATATATATATATATATAAAGCAATGTATGTGTGTCTGTGTGTTTGTCTTTTATGTATTACTACACCTCTCATCACAACGCCTTGAAACTTTGGGAAGTTGTGAATATTTCTGGGGAGGTTTCTGCGGAAAAAAATTCTAATTCGGGATTTGTTTTTTCTCTATATTCGGTATCCTAATATATAAAAGGCCATGTGCGCTCTTCTCTCTCTCTCTCTCTCTCTCACTCTCTCTCCCTCTCTCTGTCCGCAAAATATTTTCGCCGGACATCACGTCAGAATCGGCAGCGATATATGGATACCTTCATACGGACTTTTGTTGAAAATAATATGTTAGATGTTTTAAATGTATAACCACAATTTTATTTAAAGAAGAAGAATAAAAAATAAAGGCGTATTCGAATGTAGAAAAACATTTTTTTATTATGCAACAGGAAAAGCATTAATAGACGTGAAAAAGAACGCATAAAACTGTGACGTCACTAATGTTTATACATTAAATAATGACGTCATATACCGTGTTTAGAATAACAAGAAATGAACTATTTCATTCAAATTTGATTTAGATCTACGTACACTATGAAATGTATACAATACAATTTTTCCGGCCTAAACTCATAAAATTTATTTTATTTATTTGGATTCTAGATCTAGAGATTCTCGATTGTAGATCTAGACTAGATCTAAAACTACGCAATAACTAGACGTAGACGCTAAGATCTAGATTTAGACTCTAACTACTCTAGAATCTATTCCAAAAATCAATTTCTATATTAGCACTAAACTATTTCAAGACTTAATTATTTTATACAAAATCTTTGTTTGGAACTGGCTAATCTGGGATAAAAAAAATAATTTGAAAGAATAGGCATATTCGCGTAAGTTAAGATTTTAAAATACGTCTTTCATTCTCCATGTTGTAATAAAATACTTAAAAAAACTTTTTAAAAAAACAAGTTTTTCTTGTGGACTAAAAAGTAGAAAATAAATTTTTCTTCCGACCCTAGGGGATCTACCAATGACTGCTCGTAGATTTTGTGCTTCCTCGTGATGACAAAAAACGTGGGTACGTTCACCATCAAATTTCCCGACCCATCTGCCCGACCCACGTTTTTTTTAAATACACGGACTAAAAATCTTGAGCGAGAAAGGGCGTAATTTAATTAAGCCTACATGCCGTGACCAGGATTCGAACCTGGGTTGTCGTGGCCACAACGCGAAGTACTAACCACTATACGATCACGGCCAGCGCGCTCACATCGATTGGGGCCGAAGTAACTGTGTCAATAGGCCTCCAGTCTTGTCGGTATCTTTAGAAATCATGTCCTCAATTTTATGGTCCTTGGGGCGTAATTTAATTAAGCTAATTTAGGTCTCTAATTGCTAGTTTTTATGATTGCATCTGAAATTGTTAGGCGAAAATAGCCTGCATTCCAAATTTCAGATCTCTAGAGCAATCAGAAGCGGGCTAATTTTCGATGTCAATTTTAACAAAAAACATCCAAACAAACAAACAAATAAACGCGAAGCTGAGTTAAGAAAAACGTGTTAAAAGGTGCCTAAATAGCTGAAATGATAGTGTACTTAATACCACGCAGGTGGTGCGGATTCGAGACACACCAAGTCAAACTTGGTTATTTACTATTTTTATATGTGAATCTTCTGATTTTAGACTATATAGAAAGGAATTACTTCCTTCCAATTTGATTTAGATCTAGAATCTAGATCTATAGATCATCCAGACGTATGCTATGAAATATAAACAATTTTATCGGTAAAAGTAATACAAATTACTTAAAAACAACATAATGACCATTGAATAGCCAGATTTTTAACGGAATCATATAAGTCACTTAATCAGTGTGTGCCTGTGTTATGTTAAATGTGTCGGATTTTTAGCTAATTAGTTATTTCTTTGCTTTGCCACTAATATCGTTCAGCGTGTAATAAAGCACATTGCGTTTTGACCAATAACTATTTCATAAATTATTTTTCTCAAACAAGTACATTTTAAAATATATCGGCCTATAATTCACGTGAAACGGTTATTATTTTATTTCATTCAAATTTGATTTAAATCTACGTACGCTATGAAATTTATACAATAAAATTTTGCTCGGGCTAAACTTAAAAAATAAATTCTATTAGGATTCTAGATCTAGATATTCTAGATCTAGATATTCTAGATCATCTAGATCTAGATATTCTAGATCATCTAGATCTAGAGATTCTAGATCATCTAAATCTAGAGATTCTAGATCTAGATCTAGATTATCTAGATCTACGGAAAAACTAGACTTACACAGATGTAGACCTTACCTACATCTAGAATCTATTCAAATAATACATTTCTATACTAAAGTATTTCAGGCCTTAATTACTTTATTGAAATCTTTGTTTATCTATGCAATTTGCTAATCTCTATAATATATAAAGGAAAGTTGTCGGGTGCCCGATAGGGCACTTCCCATTTGGCAGGATCTTGCCTTGGGGCGACAGAACACGGGGGCCGGTTGGCCGAAAAGTCTACGATGAGGGGGTCAAAACTGACCTCGACTGACCGGCGCCTTATATGAGCTATAAATCGAAAAAAAAATGTCCACGTAGGAACCTCTTCATAACTCCTGAGGTCGTAAACCGACCCTCGGGCGAATTAATTAAGCATTCAAATTCTCAATGTTTTCGAAAACCTAAGCGAAGCAGGGCAGCATGCCTAGTATATATATATATAATGTATACGCCTATATATTATGTGTGTATCACGTGTATATACGCTCTACTGTTGTTTAGTTTACCAACGTCACCAACCTGCTTGTGATGCTCCCCAACTGACGACCTTACAATCATTGAAGTCCACTTTACCGGACATTGTGACAGGATTGTAAGCACAAGCTGTTGTCTGACATGTCCCAAGGTAACTCAGCAGATTGATGTAGCGGTCGTTGATGGTGATATACGCGATGCCGTTGGTGCCTGTTTGATGTTTCATTAAATGCCAGCATCATTTCAGAAGTTGGTTGTAAATTAATTCTATGTTAAATTAAAATTAAACGAAAAAAATAACTAATTGTTTACACAAATAAATCAATTTTAGTATTTTCAGTAATTTATAACAGTAAACAAAATTATTTGTAACAGCTCAAATAAATAAGCATTCATGATAACTAAAAATAAATCAACGTTTTGGAGTTAATGATAAAAATAATTTTGGTATTGCCTTGTAATTTTTACTGTCTCTAATGTAACTATGATCACTTACATTATTTTATTTTTTTGTTTTATTTTTTCTCATTTCTGTATAAGCCCATGACTAAAACTTTTAAAATGCTGAACTTAAATATATAGACTGGCAACCACATTCATCTTAGAAACTGTGAGAATATGCAAATTGTTTACCGTTAACTATTGTGAATATAGGAGCTGTGATGGGGTAGTTTTGGTTGCCGATGGAAATCTCAAACCTGCCAACAAAGCATTTAACAAAAAATGGGTATTTGTTTTATGGACATTAAAATCTTTAACGTTTAAAAAGTTAGTGTTACTGAAAGGAAGCAAAGATATACTAAATGACCTCGCTCTTAATTTTACAAAAACGAATTGCGCCAAATGTGTTCTACAACTCATTTACTTATTTACTCAGCATAACCTTTTCGTGTCGTGGTATATATATATATATATATATATATATATATATATATATATATATATATATATATATATATATATATATATATATATATATATAGAGAGAGAGAGAGAGAGAGAGAGAGAGAGAGAGAGTAGTTTTATAATTAATTGTCTTCTTATAAAGTTTTATTCTAAGTAAATGCGTAAATGGGGTAAACAAATGATTCATGCATCGATATATTGTTGTGTCAGCCGAACTCTACCTTACAGTTTGGCAACGAAGCTTTATGCTGTCAATGAGCTGTATTAAAAGACATGAGATGACCTTCGTCAAACTTACGTTCCTGTGGCGATCAGCTGACCACATATTGACGTGGTGACAAAAGTTTTCTTCAGGGTGCCGTTGACTGTGGCTGTAGCCAGGACAGCGTTGCAGGAGACGACGGTACCGTTTTTGTAGGTGACGTTGGCGATGCCACCGTAGATGCAGTCGTTGCTGACGGGGACACCGTTGAGGAGTCGGAACCCTGACTGGCACACTGGTAAAACAATTTGTTAACAGGCATTCGTTCTTAATTTTTAGTATCGGAGGGGATCGAGCCTTATCTGCCAGAGGGTTTGAACTTGAGACTTTTTTTTTCGAATTTATTAACCATGAGCTTTTGCCGACTCAACCACGCCTCCATCACAATAAAGTTTATGCGCCATTGAGGCCATTGACTCCAATTTCAGCCTGCTTTTCTATGTGGATTTGCTTCCATAGCCTTTGTCCAACCAAGAACAAACTACAAGGCAGAAGTTGTTTGATTTTGGAGTTGTCTCTCCAAGAAGAGCGGCTGTCCAGAGCTAACGAGCCTCATCTGCCCGAGGGTTCGAACCATGAGCTTTACCGACTCGACCACGCCGACCCCTCTCAAGGTAGTAATAAGCGATATATATATATATATATATGTATATATATATATATATATATATATATATATATATATATATATATATATATATATATATATATATATATATATATATATATATATATATTAATACAATTCACATTGTTTTTTTAACCCTACATTTTATTCTTATAGAAGTAAACAAAAATTGTCTGCTAGAAAAACAATTCTAAAGTATTATGTCTATGTTATTTGGGACAGCTTGGCTTAGCGGTAGAAAGCTCGACTGCTAATCGGAAAGTCTCGAGTTCGAATCCGGGTTCAAGTTAGTGAAAAGTCCCTGAGTCCACCCCGCTCTGATGGGTACCTAACTCACGTTAGGAAAAGCAAAGGCGGCTGTGCATAGTGCTGACTACAATATACCTTAATTTGCCGAGGTCAAGAAACATAAACTCTACTTCATCAGCTCTTTGGATTGCTAGGTCTAACGAGGAATCTTTAATTTACTTTTTTTGTCTATATTATACATTTTTTACTCCTTTTATTTGCAAAGAGTTCGAGCTTTTGTAAGAATTGGAAAACAGGTTTACAATTAAATAAAAATGTTACATAGAAAAAAATGTGATATACACTCACGTGAAGGTGGTACTGTGGTTGTTGGTGTGGTTGTCGTGGTGGTCGTTGTTGGGGTGGTAGTTGTTGTAGTCGGTGTGGTGGTGGTTGTGGTGGTGGTTGTGGTGGTCGTTGGTGTGGTGGTTGTAGTAGTAGTTGGAGTTGTGGTAGTTGTGGGTGTGGTGGTGGTAGCTGTGGTTGCTGTTGTAGGCGCGACAGTGGGGTTGATGAGTGGTTGCGAGCCACAGGTAACAGACGAACTACAGCGGCATTGCTGGACCGTGGTACCATCAGCTGCAAGGTAAGACATCGGTGTTAGATCAATAACATAAGGCATCGATAATACATAGCTGACACAAGGCTACAATGTTGTATCTCCAACATAAGGCATCGAAATTACATAGCAAATACAAGGCTATAATGTTACATCACCATCATAAGGCATCGATATTACACAGCTAATACAAAACTGCAATGTTGTATCACCAATTCAAGGCATCGATATTACATAGCAAATACAAGACTGCAATGTTGTATCATCGATATTACATAGCAAATACAAGGCTATAATGTTACATTACCATCATAAGGCATCGATATTAAATTGCTAATACAAAACTGCAATGTTGTATCACCAATTTAAGGCATCGATATTACATAGAAAATACAAGACTGCAATGTTGTATGACCAATTTAAGGCATCGATATTACATAGAAAATACAAGACTGCAATGTTGTATCATCGATATTACATAGCAAATACGAGGCTAGGATGTTATACCACCAACTTAAGTTGACGATATTACATAGCAAATGCAAGGCTATATTTTTGTTTTATTTAAAAGATGTAAGCTGGTTTTATTAATTTTCTTTTGGGGTGGTCAAATGCTAGATCGTTTGGCTGTTAGCCCAATGGTCAAGAGTTCAGATCTCAGTTAGGACTTACGACTGTAGGACGTCTCTGAGTCCATTCAGCTCTAAAAGGTACCTGACTAGTGCTGACCACACTATCCCCTCATATGCCGAGGTCAAGAAAAATAAACTCTCATTCATAAGCCCAAGTCTAAAAGTAACTTCACATTACTTTTACTAATTTTTCTTGATTAAATCCTTACAGCTCTGAATATTACACAAAAAAAAACAGAAATTAAAGAATGTTAAAACATTTTTTTACCAGTGTTCTTTTCTCTTTTAATCAATTTAATTAAAAACTCCAACTCTCTCCTCTCTTACTAAAACAAATCGCCCAATATTTCCCCTGAAATTTTTATCCAACGTCAAAATCATGGAGAATATTGACAGAACTCTTCAGCCTCTCAAGTTTACAAACTTTACCTGACCAAACACACCAATAGGTTACTCAACCATCGTGCCATGTTGTTCAAATAAACTTAATTAAGATGGTTGGTGACTCATTCTACACATTTATTTTCAATTAATATTAATAAAACTTAATTGTAATTTGTTTTTGTTTATTGATTTCGTTAATGACAAATTAATTATACCTAAACCTATGTATATAAAAATTAGTTTGTGCTTTATTTATATTTGACTTGTCCTAACTGTTAATTTAAGCAACTAATTTAAGAAGTCTTATGACTCAAGTTGGTAGAAATGTCAATGACCTTAAGCTAGGGTCGAGATGTCTTAAATTTAGACCATCAGACCCACCCTTCTCGTTACGTCACACTCTCCTCCCCCCCCCTCCCCCCATCCGTGTACCCGGGCTACATTTTGTATTTAGCTCATGAAGGCAATCAAAACATTTGCTTGCTTTTAATTAAAGACACACAGTACTGCTGTACTTCTGCTTTCGTTTTTAGCTACATTTCACCAACGAGTTTTCTGCGATAGAATAGACACACTGACTTCACAGACGTACACAAGGTAGGGGGTGGAGGGGTGTTGGAGCGTTAGTATGTTGGAACTCTGTTCCTTATATTTTATAAATATATAATGGCTAAAGTGCATTAGGGTCAGTGGCCAATATTTGCTAGGATCAGTGGCCAAAGTACGTAAAAATCAGTGGCAAAAGTACGATAAGATCAGTGGCCGAAGTACGCCATGATCATTGGCCAATAGTCACTAGGCTCGGTGGCCAAAGTACGATAGAATCAGTGGCCAAAGTAAGGTAGGATCAGTGGCCAAAGTGTGAGAGTATCATTATCCAGAGTACGATAGAATCAGTGGCCAATGCTCGCTATGATCAGTGGCCAAAGTACGATATGATGAGTGGCCAAAGTACTTTAGGATCAGTGGCCAAAGTACGATATGATGAGTGGCCAAAGTACTTTAGGATCAGTGGCCAAAGTAAGGTAGGATCAGTGGCCAAAATTTGCTCGGATTAGTGGCCAAAGTACGAAAAGATATGTGGCCAAAGTACGTTAGGATCAGTGGCCAATGTTTGCTAAGATCAGTGACCAATATTCACTAGGATCATTGGCCAAGGTACGATAGAATCAGTGGCTAAGAGCTGACTCACCAAAGAAAGTTCTCTAAGTCCTAAAGTTAGATTTCACCCATCTAAGAGACCCGCCCTTCCTGTACCAAGGTCCCATTAGACCAGGGTGGGGCCAGGATGGTCTCATGACGTCATAAAAAAACATGACTTTTCATCCGGGAAAAGATCTTAAGCACTTCCGGTTGGCAAACACACCCGTGACTTACCTCCCGTGAACTTGGTACCAGAAAAAGAGGCTCGGAAAGACAGCAGATAAAGATGGTGCTACGTAAACCCAATGCTGTCACGGATAAGTGATTGTCGGGATTAGGATTAGGTTAATCTTTTGTCCTAGTTTTGTTGATGGTCGCACACTTATATTGGGATTGGGTATACGTTATGGGAAAACGGTGGGGGGGGGGGGGTATTAGGATATATACCTGAGGTTGGGGGTAGGATGGGGTCTAGGAATCTACTGCGAACGTCTTCAGAACATTTAGGAACGTCTTTTGAATAATTTGAGTGGAAGTGCCCCCTCCCACGAAAAGATGCCTGAAAGAAAAACTGATGTCAATACCCGGGGCATCATATGTTGTTAAACCTGGGGCTTGCCTAAGGAAAACCTGGGTGTGTCTTGAGATATACCAGGAGTGTCTTATGGGGAAAACCTTAAGGGCGGGTCAAGGAATAAACGAGGGATCGATGTGCGTTACCGCACATCAACCAGAGGCACCTCCCACATCAACCAGGGACACCTCCCACATCAACCAGAGACTCATCCCACATCAACCAGAGGCACCTCCCACATCAACCAGAGACACCTCCCACATCAGCCAGAGACTCCTCCTACATCAACCATAGACTCATCCCACATCAACCAGAGACTCATCCCACATCAACCAGAGACTCCTCCCACATCAACCAGAGACACCTCCCACATCAGCCAGAGACTCCTCCCACATCAGCCAGAGACTCCTCCTACATCAACCAGAGACTCCTCCCACATCAACCAGAGACACCTCCCACATCAGCCAGAGACTCCTCCTACATCAACCAGAGACTCCTCCCACATCAACCAGAGACACCTCCCACATCAACCAGGGACACCTCCCACATCAACCAGAGACCTCCCATATCAACCAGAAACTCCTCCCACATCAACCATAGACTCCTCCCACATCAACCAGAGACACCTCCCACAACAACAGGAGACACCTCCCACATCAACCAGAGACTCCTCCCACATAACCAGAGACACCTCCCACATCAACCAGAGACCTCCCACATCAACCAGAGACCTCCCATATCAACCAGAGACTCCTCCCACATAACCAGAGACACCTCCCACATCAACCAGAGACCTCCCACATCAACCAGAGACTCCTCCCACATCAACCAGAGTCACCTCCCACATCAACCAGAGATTCCTCCCACATCAACCAGAGACTCCTCCCACATCAACCAGAGGCACCTCCCACATCAACCATAAACTCACCTCCCACGAAGTTAGTCATACAGCAGACGTTTCTCGTCATGGAGTAGTAGCAGGCCTGAGGGGGGCAGGGCAGGTAGGAGGTGGTGGCGTACAGGGTGTTGCTCCAGGTGTAGTACATGGTGCCGTAGCACTGCAGCGCCGTGCTGTAGTAGTAGGACGTCGGGTAGTAGTAGTAGTAGTCGGTTTGGTAGTACAGGTGGGCGGTGGCTAGCGGTAGGAAGGCGAGCAGGAGGATCATCGTGGGTGTGGACATTGTGGAGGATGCTGTTGTAGCTTCAAGATCTGTTACAGATAAAAGGTACAAGTATATACATAGTGTTAATGGAACCGTGTGGTTTAGCGGTAGAGCGCTAGGTAGCTAACATGAAAGTCTCGAACTTTTATGGGTAGGCCTACTAATAAGTTAGGGAAAGTATTATCGGCTGGGCTTGGTACTGACCACACTATATTTTCATATGCCGAGGTCGTAGAAACAGATGAACTCTACTTCACTTGCGCCATGGACCGTCTGGTTGGAAAAAGGAACTTTACATAATGTTACTATCACTCTGATGTTTGATTTTGTTTATATTTTTGATAACGGATAAGAAAGATCCTCAAATGTCTACAGTTTTTACTCTGATATCATTATGTTTTAATAAGGCAGACCTACTTTTACAATTAAAATGTTAAAGTAATTGCTTTTCGACTCATGCATTTGATTTATTTAGGGTCTTTTATTTTTAGATATACAAGATACATTATACTTATAATAGTTGTAAGTCAGAAATATTTTAACAATCATTAATTAAACATTAAAAGTATTTAAGATTTAAAATCCAGATACAAAGTTTTGCATATTAGTCCTTTTCTTTTCTATATATCTGATGAAATTTTCCTTTGAAGTCTAAATGCTATTTTTACACATTGCTAAACATTTCTACATTGTGATGTGCAAACGTATATTTAATGTTTTTTTTTAAAGTAACACTTCCATTCTAAATTTCACACCTAAATAAACACACGCTTTGAAAAGATTCAGTTGATTGTTTCAAATGAGAAATTTCTAAAAAAAAAAATCTAAAAACTAATTTCTAAACTAAATTAAACTAAGCTACAAAACTGCCTAGAGAGTCCACCACAGTCTCTTAAATCACCTGGTGTTAGATCGTGTCGTCTGCCGTCTTCTATCTGTCGTCTGCTACACCCAGGTACTCACCAGTCTCGACAATGGGACAGCTCAACACCTGCTGTGATATACGTCTGCTCCGGTTCTCAGGGCGTGACGTCACCAGCCGGCATCGACCTGCAACTCAAAACATCACAGACGATACAACACCTGCCGTACAACAAACATGTCTCACAAAAACTGACGTACAACAAACAAGTCCAACAAAAAGAATGACGAATTTACCTGGGCATCAATAGCAGGCATCAATATGCATGTCTGACAAAAACAGACCTACAATAAACTAGACAATGCATCAATTTACATGTCTGACAAAAACAGACCTACAATAAACTAGACAATGCATCGATTTACATGTCTGACAAAAACAGACCTACAATAGACTAGACAATGCATCAATATCCATGTCTGATAAAAACAGACCTACAGCAGACTAAACAATGCATCAAAATACATGTCAGATAATATTTAATTAACATACATTGAATAAATATAACAATGCATTTTTTTAAAATTAACTTTCAACTTACTCAAAAAAAACGTGTTTAAAATCACAGCTTAACTTTGATGATCGTTTAGCGTAATTAAAATGGTGAGAGGGGAATTTTTAAAAATAGCCCAGTGACACGGTTATAAAGTGAATATATATTTTGTTAGGTCCAAACTCTATCGGTCGAATAGTCGGCGACGTCGCAGTGGATAAAGTCAACAGAGTTTATGTACTCTATTGATTCGTGAAGGCTTTGTGTCCCCACTTTGGTAGAGAGATGAAAGAAGAAGAAACTAGGGCCTTGTGGGGTGGAGGAGTACAGATGAGATATGGAAAGATGGGAACGCTGTGGGGTTAATGTGTGGTCAGTAGGAGTGTGGGAAATGGTGGGGTGGTGGCGTGGGGATGGGCAGTTGGGTGGGTGGTGGCGTGGGCAGTGACGTGGGTGGTGGCGTGGGTGGTTGTGTGTATAATGACGTGTGTGACGTGGGTGATGGCGTGGGTGGCACTTCGACGTAAACATTTTATGAAACATCTCCAGGTCTTTTGTTTTCACAATTTCCACGATATTTTTCATTTAAAAATGCAACACTTGTGGTAGATTCCCCCCCCCCTCTCTCTCTCTCTTATCTACTTCACTGGATGTGAGTTACATAGCTGGAAACATCTCTGCTTTATAAACTTTAAAAAGAAACACAACCGGGTGGTCTTGTTATTGGGTCGACACAAGTGATAATCCCCCACCCCCCTGGACCAGATTTACACCCCCCCCCCTTCTATCACCCCCCTACACCCCATTTAGCAATTTAGCACTAACCGATGAGCGCCTCCTTCAATAAAACATGTGTCTTAAGGAGCAAATAAATCAAATAAACAACTAACATGCATACAAATCTTTAACAGTCTATTTTAATCTACTCTTTGTAGCGCACGTTTGCGTGTTTTTTTTTATTTATATTATTTACTTGATCTTTGTTACCAGTTAATTTAAATATACGGTGTATAGTTGGTACACTTGTGAACTACATCGTGCAAAGACAGGGTATATCTGTCAACTATTTCTACTTTTACAACTGGTAGCCAGAAAAATGCGCACCCAAAAATGCGCAACCAAAAAAGTGCTCATATGAATAGTTGTACAGGTGTGAGTATAGAACGACCACGTGTAAAATGTGAAATGCAGAAAGATAAAACTTATTTCCTCGAAATATGACAAAATAAAAATATTAATAATATTAATGTTTCTTATTTGTTAGTTTTTCTCTTTGCGCAATTTTCGGTTGCGCAGCTTGCGGTTGCGCCGTTTACAGTAGCGTATTTTGCAGAAACCTGTCACAGCATCAGCTTTTACATTCTCGCCCATGATTTTTTATTTTTTATTAATTTTTTTGTCAGCATCAAAATGTGTTGGCCCCTCCTCTAATCTTGTCTTTTTACTTATTAAACTAGATAAATTTCCGATCCCAAATCTTAAGTATTAATTAAATGGTATCTGGATACACTCATCGATGATTACTGGTAACCACGTGTTAACATTATGAAGATAGCAGTCGGTTTGTTGTATTTTGATATCGTGTGTGAGTCCCCGTAGCGCAGTGGATAGCGCGCCGGACTTCTAATCCGGAGGTCGCGGGTTCGAGTCCCGCCGGGGATGATACTTTTTTTTTTTTTTTCATTTTTCTACCACTACTTCAGAGGCGGTACAAAGAAATGTTTTGACGCAACTTCCATAATTGTTTTAGTAAGCCTGCCTCATTTATTTTAAAAATGTGATGTTTAATAGTTGAAAAGCACACACAATCTCAACATAACTCTCGCAACACATCCATCATAATCATATTTATTTTTAAATGCACAATGTTTTTATTCTTTTAATAATGTAAGAGGGGCAATTTGTTTGAATAATGCAGTTAATTATATATAAGCAAATACTTATAAAAGTAGGTGGCGCCTCTATGATTACTATACTTAGCCAATATCTTGTAATAAATCCTATTTACACCCTACCATCGTCACAGGCGCACTATTTGATTGTCCCTGTAAGAAAACCAACTAGACAAACAAGCTGACGAGTCTAACAGAACAAGACACCGATCTATGGGGCGCAACACAGACAGGTGTTCCCACAGGTAAATCTTGTATTCATGGCGTCACGTAAGGCTTGTTTACATGACGTAGGTACAGAGACATATTTTTATGGTGGGTTGGGGTGTGTGTTTTTGTTAATGGTTTTTTTTCGGTTTCTTGACAACATTGATGATGTAATAGTAATAACACCAAACCATGCCCCATAATCGTAACCTTAAACTTAAACTTAACTTTTATACTCTATCTCAGAGGCGTAGCGAGTGCGAGGCGGGGCGTGCGGACCATTTAGGGGTGACACCATTTAGGGGGGTGACACCATGGCGAAAAATTGCAAAATGCTTTTTGCCAATTACATTAATGATTAATTATTCGGCATATATTTAAATTATAAGACTATGTAGGCCGACACACACATACAAACACACTAACATATATATGTATGTATATACAGTGGCTTAGCGAGTAGCGAGGTCGGGTGTCACCCGGTGCGGCACTTAATGGTGTTACCCCCCCCCCCCCAGAGGCCCAGAGGCGTAGCGACCCTTCCCGGGGACAAACTTTCGACTTACACCCCTCCCCTCAAGTTTTTCTCTATAGATTTTGCTATTTTTTGCCTTGGTGTCACCCCCCTAAATGGTGTCACCCGGTGAGGTCCGCACCCCCGGCCCCCCCCACCCTCGCTACACTTCTGTGGATATATATATATATATATATATATATATATATATATATATATATATATATATATATATATATATATATATATATATATATATATATATATATATATATATATATATATACTTTGCTTCTTGGGGGGGGGGGGGTGACACCATGAAGTGCAGCACCACGTGGCACCCGACCTAGCGACGCCACTGCTCTATCTTAACCTAAGCATTAACTAACATTAACTAATCATAAACATAATCTTAACGTTCAAGTTCCATTACTCTTACACAGGATAATTAAACAAAACAAAATCGATTACCCATAAGGATAGATATGACTACGGTGTCTACCTCTATTTAAGTACCGCCACATTGACAAGGAAGGTCAAGGTTAATTAGAGGTTTAAAAAATATTGTTTTAATTTATTTTAATCAAACTCAATCTGTTATAAAATTATTAAACGTTAGCCTTTATCTTTTATTCACAAAAGCTCAGAAAAAAATCATTTGACTCTAATTTCTTCCTCCGCAAATTTAGAATATAGCTTTTGATATATTTAATGCACCACTAGAATTTAATTCTCCACAATTTAAAATGAATCTCCTCTATGATTGTTTTGTCTGTGCTACACTCTAAGGGAATTAACTGCAGTTTTCTTATAGAGATGGCTCATCATTTCGCCCAATCCGAACACGAGACTTTCGCTCGCTCTACCATTTTAGAAACGACCGTAAAATTCCTCAACTTTATAATGGGAGATAACAATTAATTATTTAACGCTTTGAATTTTGTCGGTATTCTCCCTTTAACTTTAACCCAAGTCTCGTACGTTTACGCCCATATTCCCTTCTTCCCTAAGTCTCCACATCGTGGACATTAAATTAACAGTGCTAAAGTTTCATTGCTGTTTTACCATGACCATCATCACCACCACTATCAGCATCATCATCATTAAAATATATTAAAAGCTCTCCCATGGCCCGTTGATAAACAGAATATCTACCTTTAAATGATGTTAAATTACAGTCGTCACGGTATGAGCTTGTGTGACGGTTATACATTGGGTGTGCTAGAGTAACATAATGGCCTATGTGAACTTGAAGGTGTAGGGTTCACTAGTATACTAAAGGTATGGGTTGGTCTAGTAACCATAAGGTATGTGGTCGAATGTAGTCTGTGAAACTGACGGGTAACCTGACCTTCAAGTTTGTGGGCTACTGGTAACCTGACCTTCAAGTTTGTGGGCTACTGGTAACCTGACCAAGCTTGTGGGCTACTGGTAACCTGACCTTCAAGTTTGTGGGCTACTGGTAACCTGACCTTCCAGTTTGTGGGCTACTGGTAACCCGACCTTCCAGTCTGTGGGCTACTGGTAACCTGACCTTCAAGTTTGTGGGCTACTGGTAACCTGACCTTCAAGTTTGTGGGCTACTGGTAACCTGACCTTTAAGTTTGTGGGCTACTGGTAACCTGACCTTTAAGTTTGTGGGCTACTGGTAACCTGACCTTTAAGTTTGTGGGCTACTGGTAACCTGACCTTTAAGTTTGTGGGCTACTGGTAACCTGACCTTTAAGTTTGTGGGCTACTGGTAACCTGACCTTTAAGCTTGTGGGCTACTGGTAACCTGACATTCAAGTTTGTGGGCTACTGCTGGTAACCTGACATTCAAGTTTGTGGGCTACTGGTAACCTGACCTTCAAGTTTGTGGGCTACTGGTAACCTGACCAAGCTTGTGGGCTACTGGTAACCTGACCAAGCTTGTGGGCTACTGGTAACCTGACCTGGAATTGGAATTTATATAGAAGATATATACTTTAACAGTGACCGCC